CCACATAGTGGCTCACAACCATCTGTAATGAGATCTGGCAGCCTCTTCTGTATACATAATAAATAAATAAATCTTTAAAAAAAAAAAAAAAAAAAAAGATTGGTCATTGAGCCAGGCAATGGTGATGCACACCTTTAATCCCAGCACTCATGAGGCAGAGGCAGGCGGATCTCTGTGAGTTTGAGGCCAGCCTGGTCCACAAAGCAAGTTCTAGGACAGACTCCAAAACTACACAGAAAAACCCTGTCTCGAAATGACCGCCCCCGCCCCTCCAAAAAAAGATTGGTCATTGAGAGGGAGAGTCACCCAGATGCAGGATGGAGAACTGGTTGGGGCCTGCCTCTCATCTGGCTTGGTGTGCTTTGGCTTTGTGGACGTGCTGAGGACCTTAGATTGCAGTCCGTTGTCATGAGGTGACACTAAGGATTTTAAACAAGGGAGTGACTGAAATGATCCTGTCTCCATTTCCAGTGTTGCTGTGATTGCTGGGCAAAGCGTGGAAGGCAGGGAGGAGAGGAGGGAACCGGGGACGGGGTGGAACTGGGGTGGAACTGCTACAGGTGTGCATTTGGTCCAGAGGTGACGGTAGCCTTGAGATGGGGACAAAGGACTGTCCAGCCCCCAGAATCAGATTTTACTACCATGTCCCATGCACAGAGACTTGTGTCCTTTCTGGATTTGGGTGCCAGGGCTTTCTCAGGGACCTTCCTGTGCCTTCGGAGCTGAGCAGCTATCTCTGAGCTTGCAAAGTTGAGGTCACCCCTGGAAGCAATTGGGATCTGACTCCAGTGACCTCTCGGGCAGTGAAGTGTCTGTCCCCCCCAGCCAACCTCCTGGGAAGGAGGGCCACAGGCCGGTGTGTGCCCCCAGCCCTCGGCTGCTCATCTCCATCTTCTGGGCCACCTCTGCCTCCTGTTACTTGAAATTAAAAACTGACTGGGGGGCTGGCAAGGTAACTCAGTGAGAAAGGGTGGTGCCAGGTCTGATGACCTGAGTTAAATCCTTGGGACCCAGGTGGTACAAGGTGAGACCTGACCCTTGCAAGTTGTCTTGCGCGCGCGCACACACACACACACACACACACACACACACACACACACACACAAATTAGTGTTTAAATAAAGAAGTTGGTAGCCAGGCGTTGGTAGCACATGCCTTTAATCCAAGCACTGAGGAGGCAAAGGCATCTCTGTGAGTTCGAGGCCAGCCCGGTCTACAGAGCAAGTTCCAGGACAGCCAGGGCTACACAGAGACATCCTGTCTTCAAACAAACAAACAAACAAACAAGAAGCTGGTGAGGAGAGATGGGTCAGTGGTTAAGAGCACTTGCTGCTCTTGCAGGCTTGGTTTGGATCCCCAGCCCCATGCCAGGCAGCTTACAACCACCTGGACCTCCGTTCTGGGGAATCCAGTGCCCTGTTCTGGCCTCCATGGGCACATGCACACACAGGCAATGAACATATATACACCCAGGTGCACACACCATGCATATAAAATTGTGAGCACTTTAAAAGGCTGACCGGGAGCTGGACGGTACCAATGGTGGCGAAGAGGTGGCTCAGTGAAGGACACTTGGCCTAAAACAGGATGCTCTAAGATCCACCCCCAAGCCGGGCAGTGGTGGCGCACACCTTTAACCCCAGCACTCAGGAGGCAAAGGCAGGCAGATCTCTATGAGTTTGAAGTTAGCCTGGTTTACAGAGCAAGTTCCAGGATACTCAGGGCTACACAGAGAGACCCTGTCTTGAAAATTTGAAAAAAAGAAAAGAAAAGAAAAGAAATCCATCCCCAGAAGCACCAAAGGCAAGCTGATTCCAGCCTCCATCTAGGACCTTTTCTCACTCCACACTGCTTGGTGGATGCAGGCTCAGTCATGGTGCCAGATCCCCAAGCCCCTGTCTCCTGCTGTAATCTAGCCAGAGCTGCAGCTCTGGATCATTGCCACTGTGTCCTGTGGGTGCTCACACTCACTGAGCCCCGAGCAAACTCATACCTTAGGAGTTAGCCCCGGGCTTCTCCTCTCCATCCCCAGCCTTATCAATCCTATCCCAGTAGCAAGCATGAAGACCCGAGTTCTGCTCCAAGCACCCACATAAAAAGCTGGGTGTAGCCAGGGGGTGCAGGCGGTGGTGAAGCACACCTTTGATCCCAGCACTCCAGAGGCAGAGTCAGGAGGATCTCTGTGAGTTCGAGGCCAACCTGGTCTACAGAGTGAGTTCCAGGACAGCCAGGGATGTTACACAGAGACACCCTGTCTTTAAAAACAGAAAAACCAAAACCAACCAACCAAACAAAAAAAGAATAGGATAGTAGGAACTGGAGATATGGTTCAGTGGGTAAGACTCTTGCAGAGGACCTGATTCAGTTCTCAGTACCCACAGAGAGGCTCAGAACCATCTCTAACTCAAGTTTCAGAGGACCCAACACCTAATCTGACCTCTGTGAACACTGAATGCATGTGGCACACAGACATACATGTAGGCAAGCAATCATACACACAAAATAAAATAATTTTTTAAAAGGGTAGAGCTGTGTGTGGTGGTCCACACCTTTAAATCCCAGAACTTGAGAGGCAGAGGCAAGTGGATCTCTTTGAAGAGTTTAAGGCCAGCCTGGGCTACATAGTGAGTTTCAAGTCAGCCAAGGCTACAGAGACTTTGCTTAGATAAATAAATAAAAGGTGGAAAATGGTAGAGGAAGACACCAGTGCAATGTCACTCTCCAGTCTCCACATGTTCATGTGCACCTAACACACACATGCACACGCACACCTGACCCTAGTTTAGGAATGCAACTCAGAAGTAGGACACTTGTGCCAGGCTGTGGTGGTGTACGCCTTTAATCCTGGCACTCAGGAAGCAGAGGCAGGCGGATCTCTGTAAGTTCGAGGCCAGCCTGGTCTACAGAATGAGATCCAGGACAGGCACCAAAACTATACAGTGAAACCCTGTCTTGAGAAACCAAAAAA